AACTTTCGTCCTACCGCAGTATGCAGTGTTATTGGCTTTGCTTGGTGTACCTACTGCTGGTATTAGTGATCAGGAGCCGGCATCGTCATGAAGCTTTAGGCCGTTCGACCGGGAAGTGGTGTAAGAAAAGGGAATGATGGTTGCCCATCCGAAAAGTCCAAATACGAAAAATAACGCCACATAGAAACAGTGTAGCACGGCGCTTGGTCAAGTACATCGGTATGTGGATCGTTTTTGTTATCAGAACTCACTAACCCCCTGTGTATATACGTATTGAGGCGCGATGCGCAACAACTCTTCGACGCTATACATCAGTCAGCGCTGGCCGTACACTCATTGCAGATCATAGCCTAGAGCTGAGAGAGGCTGATGTGGCTGCTGTGTGATGATGGCAAGGAGAAGGAGGCGGAGGAGGAGGAGGAGGAGGAGGAGGAGGAGGAGGATGCAGAAGAAGACAACGTCGATGACCCGCAACATGACAACGACGATTTCGATGAATCTGGTAAAGGTGTTTATGCAGCTGAGAATGAGGATGAGGGTGATGACGTAGACGTAGATGTCAGTGTTGATGTCGATAGGAGCTAGAACCATGAAGACGAATGGTGGCCGTTTCGATTTCGCTGCTACTTGAGGAGCTTCTGTCCACGAGGTGCACCAGCCTTCCTCTGTCCTACGCATGGATGATGCCCGGCAGTTTGAACAGGGCTTCGAAGGCTTCTGCAGCTGTGGAGGCGTTCAGGCAGGGCATTGTTTCTCCATGTTTCCTTTACTGTCCTCCGGTGCAATCTGTTCAGGTGGTCCTTTAGGTCCAGCTTGCCCTTCCTAAACCTTAAACCCTAAACCCTAAGCCCTAAACCGGCTTTTCACAAAGGAACTAAGGACAAGTATCGTTACTTTCACCACGGCCGTGGATGACTTTACGGCGCTCCTGAAGGGTGGCGCAGATGTGAATCTGGGTGGCACGTTGGGAACTTTTTAATTTCCATTATGGTTCCTATAGAGGTACCTATTCATAAGTACTGTTAAGGGCCGTTAAACCCCAAACCCTAAACCCCAACACTACAACCCAGGAATTGCCTCTTCTCCACCCTCTTTGGCTTCGGATTCGGCTTGCAGGTCTGCTGGTTTGTGACAACGATCAGGCCGGAGCCTTCTCGACATGTCTATTTTCTTGTTTTTTCTTGTTTAGAGTACAGAAATGTTGGAGTAGAATATAGTATGTTAAGATTGTTGTAGCAGACTATAGTATGTTATAGCTTTTATCTAAGCATGTAGAAATAATTTCTGCCCCAAGGCCCAACACCCCCCTTTCTCGCCTTCCCCATTCCCCCTTCAACCCCGCTGTGCCATGGTATCATCCCTTCTTTGGCCTGTCCTCGTGAAAATCGTCGTTTTCCGGGCTGGGCACGACTTCGATGCAAAATCGCCAACGGTCGCAGGGATTGGGTCTGCTAGAGTCACGCTCCTCGTGACTTGTGCATGGCTTCGATATGTAGGAAACCGCGCATCATGATCATGGTAGCAGTGGCCAGCACCAAGTCATGATCTGCATGACTGTCTTTGTTTTTGTAAGGGCAGGGTTGTGGGATACGGTTCACACCGCGGCACAACTCACCACGCAACCACGGGGGGGTGGGGCCATGATGCGAGCTACCGTACCGTAACTGTCCCGTTGTTGGTATTCTGGGTCAGAAGCCATGATTGAACTTGTAGGATTCAGGGTTTTAGGGTTTGGTTCTCTTGGGACTTGTAGGGTTTTCGTGTTTGAGGTTTAGGGTTTAGGTTTCTGAGTTTGCGGTTCGATCTTAAGGGTTTTATCATGTTCGGATTTTAGGGCTTTAGCGTGCCCGCTGGCTGCATCACTCAAGATGATGAGGAGGCGGGCTCGGGCCAGCAACCAAGTGCACAGAGATGTGGGAAGCCGCCAGCGCTGCGTTTGAATGCTCCAAACCCTAGGCCCCAAATCCAAAACCTTATCTATTATGTTTAGCCGGGCCTTTTTGAGTTCTCAAGCCCTAAACCTTTAAACCCCAGCCCCTTGAAGCCTAAACATTTAACCCCTAAACCATGCTCGAAACCCGTAACCCCTAAACCCCTGGACTCTTAAGCCTTAAACCCTAAACGTTAAGGGTTGAGCCCGAATCCCCTCCGTAGGGTGGTTTCGTATCTCGTCGAACGCTATGCTGAACCTTGGTGGTCCGGCTGGGCGGACGGGGCTGTGCAAAGTTAGAGTTTTCCAGGTTCCGGTGTTGGGGATCGGGTTTTGTCGTGCAGCAATAGGTTCAGGGATGGGAAAGGTTAGGGTTTCGACGATTCTGAGGTTGGAGTGGTGCAGGGATGCATGCCGGCGTAGGATGATAAGCGTTTTGTCCATTCAGGGCACTTCTCCGCAAATCCTCCGCCGGTGTTGCTTCCTCCATATGACTCTACGCCTTTTGTTGACCCGAGTGGGCGTCCGATTCGAACTGGTAACCAGATACTGAGAATATGCGGACCTCAGATTCGATTCGGGGCAAGATGATGAGAAGAACGGCAAGCAAGGGGTTGAACAATACCACGAAGTAGAGCAATGCCTGACAACAGGAGTTATAGAGATACCATGCATAACACCTCTTTGTAAACAACTTTGAGTTCGTGCTTGTCCTTGTCCAGGACCATCTGCAGACTTTCGTGATTTACATGTTCACCTATCTTTGGTTCATGCTTGGAGGCGCAGATGTTGCTTGCTAATGGGCTGTATGCTCTCGCTTAGACTAGTTTTTCTTCTCGCTGTCCCCGCAGGTGTCATTGCGCAGCTCACTTGTCGCTCTGACCTGTCGTTGGCCATCGTTTGGTTGATCGTGTCTGCCATCATCAACGCCAATGTTTCGGCTGGTTGGGGCTGGTGGGCACGACCGCGCCACCCAGACAAGCGGCCGGAGTCGGTGCAGTAGGCCGGAAGGCTAGCGCTTCTTGTGGAAAGGCACGCTCCGAAGGAGCGTGCACAACCACGCAAATGATGTGGAGAGATGCCGAAGAACGTGCTTCAATCATCATGATGACTTGAGTGCCACTCCAGAGCTCCCGAATTGAGGGTAACTGTTCAACTGCCGTATCTTCTAGCACGACGTCACTGTTACCTTTTGGAATAAATGACTCCTTTGTTGTTGGATTTGCTTTTGTATTTCGTCATCTCGACACGAGTCATGTTCTTCCGCTCAGCGGTGTTTTGCTGAGTTACCGCTCCCCCTAAACCCCCAAACCCCGTGAACCCCGTAAACCCCCTTGAACCCCTTTAAACCCCCTTACCCCCTAAACCCCCTAAGCCCCTTCCACCCCCTTAGCCGCTTCAACCCCCTAAACCCCAAACCCGAATGAAGCCCTAAAACCTAAACCCCCTAAACCCCAAACCTGTACTGAAATCCAAAAAACCCGAAACCCTAATGACACCCTAATGAAACCCGAATATCCTAAACCCCTTCTACAGGAGCTCCCGAGCACCCCCCGGCGCGGTCACCAACTTCATGCCAGGGCCTTAACAGTGGGGGGTTTCGGGCTTCAGGGTTTGGGGGTTTAGGGTTTAGGATTTCTGGTTTTGGGTTTAGGGGTTTAGGGCTTAGGGTTTTGCAGATCAAGAGTGGACGATACAACTTATGCATACTGGCGCCCGTCGCGTACCAGTCAGAGCCACGATGAGCCTAGAAAAGCTCACCAGGCCCCCGTGGCTTTTGCAGTTTGCGGTTGTGGCTGTCATGTAGGGATGTGAGTTCTGCTTCTGTTTCCCTGGCCGGGGCTGAGTGGCACTGGTGACCGTCGGTTGTGGTATTCTAGTGCGAGTGGTCGTGGTCGTGTCATTGCGCTGGCAGTTGTGATGACATTTGGTATCGTCGTTCAGTGATGATGCAGGTACGCTGATCGATGTTATTGCAGACGCAATATGAAAGGGTCATGCGCAGTCCCCACAAATAGGAGCAGTCGTGGCCGGAGGAGTACTTGGAATGGCGGCTGCAGAATCAGCGCTGGAGCTCCAGCAGTTGAACAAGACGTAAAGAAGGAGAGGCTGATCTAGCTGTGGCTTAGAATAGTTTACTACCTCAGCATTTGTAGTACACAGATAGAGGTGATACAGAGGAGCGCCGGCAACCGCAAAAAGAGGCTTCGAGCTTCCGGCACAACGAGCTCCAAGCTATGCGAAAGCCCCAACTGGCGCAGCTTGAACCATAAAGCCAAGTATTGCTTTTCAGGCGGGCTTTCCGTGTGGTGCTCACGCGCCCAAGCGTCCTGGTTCCCTGGGGCTACGAGTGGCACGAAGAGCCGGGTTTCCCAGTTGCCGCCAGCAGAGAGTTGCACTTTCTTGGCCTGAGGCTCTTGTGCATCGGACGTTACGCAAGACTTTCGTGACAGAACTGCTTGAGGTTCACAGCTGAACTAGACGAGAACTGGGAGTGTGCTGGCTCTTGTGGGTGTGTTTCCTCTTGGTGGAGCCAAGGTGGCATACCCTTCCGACACCTTCAATACAGTGATGCGTCAGGGAACACCCCAGCCCAAGTATGCGATTTTTCGAGGCCCTTTGACGACACTGGTGCGCGCGTCCTGCGAGAGATTCGGCAGCATTCTCCCCTAGACCGGTGGAATGCTGGGACCTCAGTTTGGGGTTAGAGTTTCAGGTTTGGGGCTTTAGGTTTTGACAGCATGGGTGTATGGTGTGGCATTGCTGCGAGTGTCGAGACTGCCAGCTATTCGGCTTCGGCACCGCTTCAGCGATATTTGCCATAGCTCATAGCCTAGAAGCCCAAACAGTTGCTAGTGCTGTTCCTTAGAGCTCAAGCTCCCAAACTTTAAACCCTAAACCCTGAACCCAAAACCCTGCCCTCAACCCGAACTCAACCCTAAACCCTAGACCCTACCCTCAACCCTGCCCCAACCTTAAACCATAGACGCCTAAGCCCAAAACCTTAATACTTAAACACCTAAACACTAGACCCGAACCATACACCCAAGAGCAGAAACCCTAAATGCTTGAATCCTTACACCCCAACCCCCTATTCCCTTTTCCCTGTTTGAAAGGCAGAAGCAAAAGGGAGCTTCAAACAAAGCCTGAAAAACAAAAAACACCTCGAAAGGTTTGGCAGCAGGTCATCGGCAGGCCAGATCTCGTGGTTCAGCCTGGCCCATGCCCGAGTTTTCTTGGATGTTTCTAGGTGCGTCAGGAGATTAGGGTTTAGGATTTAGGGTTTAGGGTATAGGGTTTGGGGGTTTAAAGGATTAGGGGCTTTGGCGTTCAGGTTTAAGGGTCCAGGGTATAGGACAGAAGCGTTCCAAGATGTGTGTCGTGCTTTCACGTCCTTTTGCTTCGTTTCTTTGCAACTTTTCGGAAGCCTTGTAGCGCTGGGCTCCAGACAGTTTGCTATGAAGCTGGGAGGTTTAGGGTCCAGGGGTTCAGGGGTTTAGGGTTTGCCAGGCACATCTTCTTCTTGTTCAGCCCTGACTGGTTCATTCTGAGATAGCCTTCTTTCTGGCCACCCCGGTGCAGATACGTCTCCAGGTGACCGCCTGATCAAGACAGATGGCCGTTGGGCATACTATGAGGAAGAGGCGGGATGGAGCCGCTATGGGGTTATTGCTTGTTGGTGTCGTGGCTGCTATTAGCATCATGATGACTGGCAGTGGCAGTACTAGCTAGCATGTGCGTCCCAAAACCCATCTCACCTCTTGTCCTTACAGTTCCATCGTTCCATCAAGGCTGCGATCGGTGTTGCTTCACACGGGAGAATGTTTCCTCAAGTCGGATTAGACTGGCATTTTCGACCAAAGTCTCCTGGCTGTCATGATCCCTGATCTGCTGTAGAAGTGCCTCGAAGGCTCCCTTTTTCTGCAAGGGCGAATAAGTCTGTGTAAGATAGGGGTCTGAATATCCGTAGAAATATTCCCTCATAGCTGCCATAGCCTTGATCTAACCCAAATCCAAAAAAGTATTATTCGCCCCATACTAAGATTGTATCAAAAGGGACCGTGAGAAGCCTGAAACAGCAGCTGCTGGTGCAAGGTGTGTCTCTGCGACAGCGAGCAGGCAGTCGGAGGGCTGGGATAGCTTGGCACATGCCTGGACCTACTGCAGGAGCCTTAACAATTAGAATCGGGTTGGCGGGTATATGTTACTGTACTTTTAAGGAGGGGCACCACAATAGTAGTTGTTGTTTCATATCTCCCGAACCATATTCTATTTATTTTATACTAGATAGTCAGGCTCCTTGTTTTAGCTCCGTACCCACAATCCGATTCTGATACTTAAGGCTCTTCTCTGCTTCCAACCTTGGCTCCTCTATGGATTCATCTGGGCTTGCCTTTTTGTATTTCGGTTTAGGAGGGTTGAGGGTTTAGGGCCCAAACCCTGAGCCCTAAGCCCAACCCTGGCTCGAGGAGGCGAACCCTGGAGGACCCCACTAAATTCGACAGCAACCCCCAAGCCCGAAGCCCATGGGGGGCCTTGATAATTAGAAGAGGGTTTTGGGTGTGTGTTGGGAAAGATTATGATAGGGACTATGCGGGATTCTCCACAACACCGAAACCGCAAATCCGAAACTCTACAATCAGGCGGCCCACCTGGCAGACGCAGAGAGACCTGGACTGCTCCGGCGCCTGGTGCTGGAGCGGGGGGCCCGGGCAGGAAAGGATGCAAGGTGTATAGAGTTAAGGGTTTACGGGTTGGGGAAGTTACTTGTAGGGTTTGGGAATTCGCGATTCTCGGTTTCGGGATTAGGGACTTTTAGTCACTAGGGTCTAGGTCAGGTTGCGAGATAAGATCACATTTTGGATGTTTCGGGGTGACTGTGAAAGGCAGCAAGAAAAGGTTCTTCCGAGACCACCTTTTCCCGCCACTGATACTGTTATTTCAGTCGTCCTAGTTGTTATCATCATAATCGCCATCGCTATTCTTGTTATTGCCAGTATTGTTATTATTATTGTTATTGTCATTGTTCTTAGCATCCGCATTAGCACTAGTAACTAGTATTTTGTTACTGCCATCGCCATCGCCATCGCCATCGTCATCGTCGTCATCATCCGCATTGGCATCGTCATCAAGAACATTACAGGCGGTTTCGCGCTATCCTCATGAACACCACATTTGCTAGTCTTCTGTATACGTTGCTGTGCACTGAAAATGGTTGACGAATTCTGTTCATGATTGTTCGCTACAGAGTCACCAGAAGTGTTATGATTCTGAGGATGAGTTCGGCTGAAGACTGCTATCTAAAGCTAGTCATCATGATGACAGCCTCAAGAAACCCTAAACCCGAAGCAGGAGCGCTTGAACAACACCTAAACTCTAAACCCTGAACCCTAAGCCCTAAAGCCCTAGAACCTAAAACTCTAAAGCTTTGGCCAAGGTTCATGCGCCCCACAGCTCGCCCTGCCGCTCCAGTCAGGCCAAGACTGGAGGCTGGAGAGGGGTTAGGGTTTAGGGTTTAGGATTTAGGGTGGGCTACAAGTTGCTACAGTCAGTGAGGGGGACGGTGAGGTTACTATACGGGTGACCAATATTTATAAGTGTTACAAGTTTACGAAAAGAGCTACTATAAGGTTACGACAAGGGTCATTTTCAGTCTCAGGGGATTCCACAACCCTAAGCCCTAAACCCTGAACCCAGACATGTTGTCTACTTCGCCTTCTGCCGGCGGGAGACGCAGTCTTCACAAGACCAGAGGACACACTACCCCTTACTTAAGGAATAAAACCCAAATTAGCTGAAAAGCACGACTTGCGGTATATCCTTCGCTGCAGGATATGGAGCTCCCTGGGTAACCTCTGAAATTCGAAGGCACCGAGCACCTCGCTTTACCAGTGAGACGCTTTGGGGTTTAGGGTGTTGTCTGAGGGACCCTGCGTATATGATCAGGCGACTTAGCAAAGTAGGATTATGAGTCGGGTAGCTATAGCTATAGTGGGCTGTATCCCAATTAAAGTACTGAGCTAGTTCTACTTATTCCTGAGTTTCGCTACAAAGACTGTACAAAAGACATATCACCCAAATCCTACTCTAGTTAAAAAGAGTAACAACTAAGTGCGAAACCCTAACTCCTAAACCCTAAACCCTAAACTAAACCATGAACGGAGGTGTGGGACACACAGTCGGCTCTGGTCATATCCTGGGATCACCCCAGTGCCTTGGAACCTTACAAGCAGGCTGGGGCGCTTTTTCGGGCGAGTTTCCGAAGTTTTGGGGATGATATAGGGCTTTTCGGGTAGTTTAGGGGTTCAGGATCTCAGAAAGTTTCGGGTTTTCAGGGCTTCAGGGGGTTTTGGGGTCAAGGATTTCAGAAGGTTTCGGGTTGCAGCAGGGCTTTCGAGGTGGGAGGGAAACGTCGTTCTGCCACATCTTTCTCTGGAAGGTCTGGGGATGGGCCATTGCCCTCGTGGACATGGACCACGAGATTTGGTCCCGGCCTCAGATGCTCTGTGGTTCAGGGTTTAGGCCTTAGGGTTCATGGTTTCAGAAGTTCGAAGTCCTCTGGGCCCTTGGGAGATTGGACTTTCAAGCCAGATCCTAGATTCAGAGCGTGGGGCTGTGTATCGAAAGGCCCCACACAGCTTGGACAAAGAGGCGGAAACGCAAACCCTAAGCCTCAAGCCCTAAGCGCTGAACCCAAACAAAAAACCCTAAACCGGACTGGACAGACTCCTGAGGCTCATCGTGGATGGCGTGACCTACACAGCGAGGTCTGGAGTGGATCAATGTGGGAAGTTTCTTCCGCGTAAAGTTTTCTGGGTTCTTGTTAAAGAAATTAGTATAGTTAATAGTTGAAGTTACCATAGCAAGGACACCACAATATTAACGGTGGAATCCCTCCTATGGCAGCTTACAAAATTCTTAACAAAAACCCAGCAAGTATTTCGGTTTCGCCGATACCCTGCGTCTGCCTGCAAGCAGAAAGAACTCGAGATCTGATGTTCACCGGATATTTTCAGGAAAGGCTGACATTCTCGGGACCGTAAGGCTACCCTAAGGAATCTGTATTGCAGAAGCTCGAGTGATTAGAAGTCTTATCTTATGGTCCCCATATAAGCATGTATAGTATAGTTAGTATCGTATACTCCAAGCCAAATTCTGATTATGTCCAGGCCCCTGTAGTACCGTCGTGTCCATTATGACAGGTCTTTGTCGCTGGAGGGTGCAGACGTTGCCGTGGCTAAGCCAGACCTCTGCACCATCTACGTGTCGCCCGGGCATGGTCCACATCTGGGGGTTTTCACGCGTCCTTCTTATCAGGACCTGAGTATGTAGCGTTCCATCCGTTCCATTAGTGAGGTCCTGGTGTTTTCTGAAACTACCCCATCTCTGAAAATCCCGAACAACACCCAAGAGGGGGGGAGGGGGGCGATTTGGGCTTCGAGGTGTCTGAAGTCGAGGAATCCTGTTGGAAAGAACATTCGGATCTTGACTTTCTCAGAAAAGGTGGATCTCAGCTCCGAAACTTTCCCGACGTGCGCCAACGTTGCTTGCAGGTACCAAAACGCTCTGCCCCCTCCACAAAAAAGCCTCATGCACACCCAAGCTGCAAAAGCTGCTTAATCTCAAACTCCCCCCCCAAAGTTTTTTTCCCCCCCCCTTCCAAAATAACAACCCCCACCACCCCTTCCAAAATAACAACCCTAAACCCTTGATCGCAGAAGCCTTTAATCCCGCACCCTTGCACCCTTGATCTGAAAAGCTTGGGACTCTTATAGAACCTGCACAGCACCTTTCTAGAACCCTTAAAAAATCCATCCAGAACCCTTGTAGAACCCTTACAGTACCCGTGGTACCATGGTTGTATTCTTCTCATTTAGCACCCTAGAAACAACCGTGCCAATACCCTTACGGTATCTTTGTCGCCACAAAAAGAGCCCTTACCGAGTCCTTTTTGAATTCCTTTAGGTACGCAACTAGTACTCCCTACTCAAGTACCCTTAAACGGACCCTCCATCCTTACAGCATCCCTAAATCCTAAACCCTAAACCGTTTAAATCTTATACCCTAAACCCTAAGCCTTAAATCCTAAACCCTAAACCCTAAACTTTTCTAGAACCTTATGGACAAGCCCTGCCAGGTCGGAAGGCCTCGCCTATGGCCGGCCGTATGCCGCCTGCTCGGAGCTTGGCTTCCGTTCGAAGCTCCGAAGACTTCGGGTTTAGGGTTTAGGGTTTAGGCTCTAAGAACTAACATAGGGGCCTCTACAGCTAGAATCGGGTTTTGGGGTTTATGATACTATAACCGGAATGAGGGGCCCCCAGAACAAAGTGTTGATAATTTCGAGGTACTATAGGGGCCTAAATGATCACCAATACTATTTTTGGGGTTCCTTGTTATAGTTATAGTATAGAGTACTAATAAGGCCCTTGTACTACTTCTAAGAGCTTCTTTCAGGGTTTGTGGTTTAGGAGGCTTTAAGGGTCAGGGGTTTAGGGGTTTGGGGCTGAGGCTTGGGGTTAAAGGTTTAGGTGCTCAGAGTTGACAGGGTTGAGGGGTTCCTTGCGGATTCGCGCCAGGGTTTCGGAGCTAGGGTTCGAGGCTTCGGGCTTCTAACCGGTTTAGGGTTTCGGGCCTAGGGTAACAAGCTGCGTGACCTGAAACTTAAAACCCTAACCTCTCAACTGGGAATCCAAAACCCTAAGCTCTAAACGAAGCCGGAAATCCCAAGCTCGAAATCTCCAGTCCTAACCGCAACAGCTTTCCTCATGCTGTGATTGCCTTCGAGGCATTGCTGTGCTTACCGACCGCGGCTGGTCTGCCTTCTCTGACCTCTCTAGGCACATGCAAATGGGGTTCAGGACGTAAGGAGTTCAAGATTAAGTGAGCAGAACCCTTGCTAATACCACCAGTCAACCCATTAGAAGATTAACCTATACCCCCCCTACATCTCACCAGCTATATCGCCACTACTACCCCAATACCAATACCAGTATAGGAATAACCGATGACCTCATCCATATAAGAGGATTATTTCTAATATATCACCACTACTACCCCATTACCAAGACCAGTATAGGAATAGTCAATTACCCCATCTATATTCCCTAAGGTGGTATTATCATCCCAAAGTGGGCAAAGGTTCCCTCATAGATTTTACTAGGTTTAGGGTTGAGGATTTTAGTCATAATCAAGGCGACGGGGTGGGGTTATATTGACCTCCCTTCATGTTTCCTTTCTGGGCTCTTGGGTTGGATGGGTGGGCCACGGCAAAAAAGCTGGGCTGCTCTTGACCTTCCTTCATGTTTCCTTGCTGGGTTCCCATGTCGGACTTTCCTGTCTGGGCTCCTGGGTCGGATGGGTGGGCCGCGGCCAAGGGGCTGGGCTCCTTTCATGTTTCCTTACTGTGTGCTCACTGATGTTTCACTCTTTATCATAGCACTGCCTGGGCTCGATGCTAGAACACAAGCCGCCTTTTGGACTACGATCCTCTAGCTGAGCTATCCGCTGCTTTTCCACCAGGGAGATCGAATATGCTGGCTTTTGGAGGTTTTCGAACGTATGATCTGTGCCACAGCTGCCAAAAAAGGGAGCATATTCTTTACAACTATGAGCGCTGACCGCAAACAAGACATTTTGGACACGGCGTTCTTCTGTCTTTCCCAAAAAAAGAACGCTTCCGTGTCGTGCGGATATCATCACCACCCATTCTTCTTTTGCACAATTTTTTTGCATAATGCCTAAACATTTGGTTCGCAGCATCTGCTGGCGAAGCCAGACAGGGTTCCAACACGTTCCAACTTGAACCGGTATGATTCGATGGATTCTGTTTAGGGGTCTTCGCTGGTGCAACTGCAAATTTACATAATGTTACAGTATATGTTGAGAAAATAACCAATGATTTTGATAATGAGTATTATCAATCTAAATGTGAGAGATAATGTGCTAGATGTAAGAAGCTTAAAAACTTAATATGTTTCAAGAGATTTTTTTATCATTGTAAAACGAGTAGGTATGTAATGCAATATAGATACACGGTGACTTGTTGTGAATGCCTGGATAGTATGAAATCATACAATGATATGCGAAAAATGACCCAAAAGGATAGTGTCTTTTATATGTAACATGGAAGGTTCACAAATCAAATGCTCAAGGTGTCACAGTAACAAGACAGATGAAGAATTCGGATACAACAAGAATAGCAAATTATTTGCAAATTGTATTCAATGCAGAGAGAAGAGGAAAGAGTACATTCGTAAAGACAAGAAGCCAGACAACAAACCGTCAGAAGTTGTTCCTGTGTTCAACCATACACGGCAATTATTGCTTAACGATGAACTTCTTGTGAATTATTTTCTGATATTCAGCAAGCAGGATAATAACGTGATAATTGACATTCCTATGAACAGCGAGGTAAAGGATATTGGCCGTAAGCAACCAGAGCATACCCGTGAAAACAAATCGTTCTCTAAACTATATCGGATAATGCACTCATAAATATAACATAAACATAGTTAACAAGAGGCATTGTGTGATGAGTATATTATGACTACAACCTTGGAAACTAAACCTAGTAAAATCTATGAGCGAACCGTTGCCCATTTCGGGATGATAATTCCACCTTAGGGAATATAGATGGGGTATTTGGTTATTCCTATACTGGTCTTGGTAATGGGGTAGTAGTGGTGATGTATTGGGTGGAATGTAGGGGGGAGTATAGGAATAATTTTCTTATATGGATGAGGGAAGCGCTTATTCCTGTACTGGTGTAGGTATTGGGGTAGTAGTGGTGGTATAGGAATATTTTCTAATGGGTTGACTGGTTGTACTATTACCCAAACTGGGCAAGGGTTCTGCTAACTGATTGCGGGGGTTAGTGTTTCCAGTTTCGGCGTTGAGGGTTAAGGGTTCAGTGTCAGTCTCACGGACAGCAAGCGGCCTTGGACAACAAAATGCGGCGCAACCTTCAACCTTGAAGCCGCCTGAACCCTGCGCTTGCCAGGTCTGTTAGCATCTCCGCCTCAGCTAAAGTCAGCGATGCGGTGCTGGGCCTGGACCGGCTCGGGGGTTTCCAGGGTTGTGGGTTTCAATGTTTGGAGGGCTCCAAGGTTTGCAGAGAGTTCAGGGTTAGGGGCTTAGAACTCCAGGATAAAGGGTTTGTGGTTGACCCGTGTCGGCAGGCTTCAGTGGTTTGGACATTCAAGACTGCAGTGTTGATTTTTGGGGTAGGCTGTTTGGAGATTCCTGTTTTGGAGCTGTGTATGTGTATACCTTGTCGAAAAAGCACACATGCACGCATACATATATACAGGTTCCATATATATGTATATGTTACCCACTTAAACCCCACAAATTTCATAAAGTGAATCAGACTCCAATGAATCAGTGCGCGACGTCGACCAGACGTCATACCCACAGGTACAATAGCACGACAGTATCGGCTGGTGGATCTGAGTAGATAAATACATTGATTTTAGTACTAATATTGATAGTAAGACCGGTACTAATAGTCATAGTAACATTAATACTCCTACAATATTCCTACAACATCATACTCATACCAAGATTAATAGCTATACCAATACTAATCTAACCCTGGTACAAAGATTGATATCCCTACCGTTTTCATATTAATATTAATACAAGTAAAGAGATTTACACTAATGCTCATATTAACACCGATATAAGAACGAATACTAATATTCCCACGAATACTAACACCCGAAGCAACAATGATACCGAAAACAATATTCATATTGTTATGAATGCCACTGTAAGTTCTAATCCGAAACTCAAAAGCAATACTAACACAAATATTCTTGCGAACAAAAATCATCATAATAATATTGGTATTGATATTAATACGATTATCAATATTAAAATTCGTACGAAAACTGATACCAGTACTCATACTAATACTATTATTAATACCAATATTAGTGCTTGTGCGAATATTAACTCTAATATTAAAACCCATATTAAGATTGATATTACTTGTAATTTTCATATCAATATTCACACTGACATTGGCACTGGCACTATCACTAACACTAACACCAAACAGTAACACTAACATTTATTTAGATTTACGATCACTGATATTAGCACTTCTACTTAATACTAGTACTAATACGAATATTGCCACTAAACTAATTCTAGAATTAAGACTACGACACGTATTAATAGTAATACTAAGATTAGAATTAAGAACGAGACTAAGTCAAGACTAACATTAAATCTGTTGCTAAGACTGAGACTAAGCATAAGACTAAGACTAAGATTGAAAGGTACGACTAACACTCAGATTGCGACTAGGAGCGTTGCATGAACGTGTAGAGATGTCCACGAATTGCAAAATTAAGTATACCAACTTCCGCAGAGGTCTGGAACATTTTTTTGTTTGTTTGTTTTGTTTTTGGATTTTTGTTTGTTTTTGTTTTGTTCTTTTAATTTTAGTTTTTTGTTTCAAAGCTTTACAAACATGATTTTGTGAATGAGAACACATACCGTGCAAGTCATCGTGCGGAGAAAATGAAAATTTGTATGTGTATGTGTGGCAGCAAGTGCAACAAGTACTTGATGTACTGATGAGGGAAAGGTGTTGGCTTTGGGGGTACCATAAAGATGTATATATACACATATGTATGTATGTATGTATGTATGTACGTATGTATGTATGTATGTGTTATAGATGTATGTGTGTATGTACGTATCTACGTACGTACGTACGTATGTATATGTATGTATGTATGTATGTATGTGTTATATATGTATGTGTGTATGTACGTATGTACGTATGTACGTATGTACGTATGTACGTATGTATGTATGTATGTATGTATGTATGTATGTATGTATGTATGTTTTAATGTAATGTAATGTAATGTGATGTAATGTAATGTAATGTAATATAA